CAGCCCTGGTTCCCAACTCTTCTTCAGCTATCACACAACAACTTCCTTCATCCACCTCAAGTACATCACCTTCTCTCTCAGGAGCAAGGTGCTATACAGCATCCAGATCTGCAATCCCTAAATCTCACTGCCTGGCTCATACACTGACTGTTTCTCTGCCCTCATCCTCGAAATCGTCTCCTTCTTCTTTGGTACCGGCAACCCCTTCGGATTCGACACAGGCACCTTCTTTGGGATCGACATCTGCATAATCTGCAATTACTTCCACAGCATCAGTAACTTCTAAGCCTCTGCTACTCTTAGTCCTGGGACCAATGTCTGCTTCAAACCCGACAGATTTTCACCTGGACATTCAGTTCATTCTTCAATGCTCCTATAATGTCAAATGGAAGTGCTTCACCTTCTTTGCTGCTGCTAAACAATTTCTACCTCAATCTGCCACCATTGAGAACATTCTACAATTCCTACTCTCGTTACACCATGAGAGTCTCAAACCTTCCTCCATTAAGGTGTATTCTGCAGCTATCTCGCATCCTCAAGGATGCATTGGAGGTTCGTCTGTATTCTCTCACCACCTTGTACATCGATTCCTACAAGTACTACAAAACCTGCAACCTCCTATCAGATTGGTGGTCCTCACTTGGAGCCTCTCTGTCATTTTACAGGCTCTTACCAAGCCTCCATTTGAACCACTGGCTACCACAGATCTCTACCTTCTCTCTTGGAAGACAGCCTTCTTAGTTGCTATCACATCAGCCAGAAGAGCTTGCAAACTGTGCATCCTTCGTGTCGTTCCACTGTACCTCAATTTCCACAAGGAGAAAGTAGTCTCCATACTGACCCAGCCTTCCAGCCTAAGGTTGTGACTCCCTTTCACCTCAACCAAGACATTGTTCTACCGGCTTATTTTCCTGCTCTGTCGACATCGATCGAGCACTCTCTATGCAGCCTGGATGTCCGCAGATGTTTAGCCTTTTATTGATCCCAAACTGAGTCATTCAGGAAAACCAAATGGCTTTTCGTCAAATCCTCAGAACATGACAAGGGAGCTCCTATTAGTACTTAAAAACTTTCGAAATGGATCGTTAGGACGATTGAACTGTCCTACTCCTTTCCAAACTGGACTTATCTGTTACTCCAAAAGGACATTCCACACAAGCTGTTCTTCTTCTGCCCTCCATGTGGGCATTCCTCTCCAGGATATCTGCAGAGCAGCCACATGGTCTACTCTGTGCTCATTCACGAAGCACTACCACTTAGACGTCAAGGCCAGACAGAACTGCTCCTTTGGTTGCGCCATCCTATCCACAGTTCTCCAGTGATGACACCATCCCACCTCTGGGTGTGGTAAGCTTGTTAGTCACCCATATATGTGTGATGCACAGAGACCACAATGAAGAAAGGCAGGTTGTTACCTGTAACTGCTGTTCATCCAGTGGTCATCCGTGCAGTCGCACAACCTGCCCACCGGCCCCACTAGGTGTTGGTGATTGGGTATTCTAGGTGTATATTTGTTCCTATGTTTTTCCTTATGGAGCAGGGTTCAATATCGGTCAGCTCCACCTGGGAGTGAACGAACAGTCTTCAGCTGACTGGCGAGAGGGCAGGCACTCCAGCCATTTATGCTATGGGGAGGGGGGGTGCGGAGTTCCCGCCAAAAACCATTACATCTTAAATCTTCCTGGCAACAGGCACTGCGCAGGCACAGCACCCATATATGTGTGCATGCATGGATGACCTCTTGAAGAATGACAGTTACAGGTAAGCAACCTGCCTTATTCATTCGGTAAGGATTCCGTCATCCTTTGGTCAGGTTCTTCCTAAAGTTTTTCACAGAACACAAGAGCTGGTTCTCTTTTTCTTCTGCCCTAATCTTTCTCACCTGTAACTCACTTATGAGTCTGGCACAACTTGGCAGTTAGGAACATAAGTAAAAAATATAACTAGTGAAGCTTGATATTCCTGTTTCCTGTTTGGTTGTTTGCACTCTACAGCGTAGGGAAAGTAGTCCTCCCATACCCACCCTTGCTAGGTGATTCAAAGCATGTACATTTTTCAGCCTATAGATTAAAAAAAAAAGACTCCCCTTAAATCACACATACCACAGCATACCCCATCAAAGCTGTGAGTGCCTCAGCACTATTTCTCTGCTACCACTCCTTTAATGGTTTTCTACAAGGCAGGAGTTGGTCCTCACATCACACATTCATTAAGTGTTCTTAACTGAACAGAGATTTTATTTTGGCATCCTTGGCCAAAAGAGCCTTCAAATACAGAGTATTACAACAGGTTTTTCCTTCAAACAGCTGTGCTCACTAAGAACTTCCATTCCAATTCAATGCACAGGAAACATTTATACTGCAACCCATGGGCACTCTCATTAATTATGTTTTTCCAAAGGGAGTGTGCTGATCCCTACAAGATGGTGGTTTACTTTTGTCACTCCAGTTGTCTCTAGATTTACATACTCCTTTGTTTCTGGCTTCTCAGTCACTGCTCTGACTAAAAGCTAGGCTACAAAAAGAACTGGCTGGGAGGAATCATAGAAAAGTAGAGTTGGAATGGACCATGAAGGCCATCAGGTCCAACCCCATGCTTTTGCAGGACACCAGGTTACACCATCCCACGCAGATGGCTGGCCAGTTTCTTTTTTAATGTCTCCAGTGTGGGAGAGTGCACCACCTCACTAGGCAGCTGGTTCCACTTGGGGGTGGGGTGGGGAGATGGCCGCAATCGTGCTAGTTGGGGGGGGGGGGGGGAGATAGGAGGTGGGGAGACAGCCATGATCACAGTTGCTTTCATGCAGGGAAGGCATGTGCGATCAGAGGCATGCTGCTGCAGGAAAGATGGGCGTGATCTCGGCCATCCCCCCCCCCAACCAGCACGATCGCGGCCATCTCCCCACCCCACCCCCGAGTGGGGAGATGGCTGCGATCGTGGTGGGGACTGGGGGGAGATGCCCAAGATCGCACCCATCTCTTCCTCCCCCAGTGTGCCGTTTGCACCCATCTCTTCCTCCCCCAGTGTGTCCGCGATCACGCCCGTTCCCCCCCCCCCACCCGCCAGCATGCCAGGATGATGGGCGCCTGCAGGGATGACAGGCGCGTGCAGGGATGACAAGCGTGTTCTCGGTCATGCTGGGGGGAGGGCGGGAAGATGGCCCTGGTTGTGCTTGGGGTGGGTGGGTGGGGGATCTTTGTTGTCGTCACTTTGCTTCACATTTTTCTGATTTAAAAAATGGTTACAGAACGGATTAACCTTATTTACATTGAACCTTATGGGGAAATTTAACTTGGGTCACGACCAATTTGGGTCACGACCAGAGTCCTGGAATGGATTAAGTTCGTGAGCCAAGGTACCACTGTATCTGGACACCCTTCTCTTTCTCATGTCTTTTGTTCTGGATGTATCTGAAGAAGGCTTTCTTGTTGTGCTCAGCATCCCTTGCTATTCTCAGTTAATTGCCTGCTTTAGCCTTCCTGATTCTATTCCTGCAATTCCTTGCTATTTGTTTATATTCTTTCTGTGGTGCAGCCCTGCTTTGACCTCTACATGTTCTTTTTTTGTTTGTTTGTTTGTTTGTTTGTTTCAGGCTGTCACTTAATTTTTTGTGGAGCCACATGGGCTTCCACTGCTGTCTTCTACACTTTTTTCTTGATGGAATTGTTCATAGTTGTGCTTGGAGAATCTTCATTTTCAAGATTCCCCACCCCTCTTGGACACTTTTCCCCCTAAGGATGTGTTGCCATGGCACTTTGCTTATCATTTTTCTGAGTTCATTAAAGTTGGCTTTCTTGAAGTAGAGGATGCCTGTTGGGCTCCAGTTTCCCTTTGTCTCCTTCATAATTGAGAATTCAAGTATCGCATGGTCACTTTCCCCCAGAGTTCCCATGGTTGTTATTTTGTCCACCAGGCCATTCCTGTTAGTATTAAATTGAGGATAGCTGATCCTCTTGTACCTTCCTCTAGTTTCTGCTGGAGAAAGTTGTTGGCAATACACTTCAGGAATCTCTTGGAGGGGCCATGCTTGGCAGAATTTGTCTCCCAGCATATATCAGGGAAATTGAAGTCCACCATGATGACCATATCATTCTTCTTGGAAATGCTGGCAAGTTGCTTTTCGAAGGTTGCATCCTTGCCCTCTTTTTGACTGAGTGGATGGTAATATATGCCAATAACTATGTTTTTCTTTTTCTTTTGCTCCCTTTAAATTTAGCCAGATGTGTTCCATGGAGCTACTAGTTTCCTCTTCTTGAATTTCTCTGCAGATATATGTGTCTCTATAGTGCAACTCCATCTCCCCTTTTTTCCTTTCTGTTTCTCTTAAACAGGTTGTATGCATCAATTGTAGAGTTCCAGTCATATGAGTCATCCCACTAAGTTTCAGTTATTCCTATAAGATCATAATTATTCTCATGTACTATGAGCTCACGTTTGTGTTGTTTCCCATACTCTGGTCATTGGTGTAGAGACATTGAAGTTCATTCTCACTGTGTCCTGGTTTTCTTCCTACATTTTTTGGAAGCCACAAGAGGCCAGCAAAAAGCTTAGCTGAATGTTCATTGCCTGCCCTGGGCAGTGGGAGAATTTAACCCACAATGGATGTCTTCTGTGCACCTAATCAGAATGAATCTTCTGTACCAAACTTTCCATTCTGTTACCCTGAAATCTGCCCACTTCTGATCAATGGCAGTTTAAGGAATGACAATGTCAATGGACACCATGGTGCATTCATTAAACACAACTGTTGTGTGCACAGATTGGATACACAGACTAGCATCCTTGTGGTGAATAACTAATTTTCCTTCATTTGAGCCTTCCTACAATTTCAAATACTCATGTGCAATAAAAATTAGTCAAAATTCCAAAGCATTTTGTAAGTAAAGATAAATCTACACACTCTTCCTATTATACTTTCCTTATTGCATGATGTGGAATATTTCTTGCTGGTTCGGTGAGATTTGTCACATTCTCCCTCTCTTTTCCTGCACCCCTAATATAGGAATGTATATAAAGACTTGCGTCAGATTGAACTTGCCTGTGATTCACAGGAAGATGTGGACAGCTGGAAAGCCTCCTTTCTTCGTGCTGGTGTTTACCCTGAGAAAGATCAAGTAAACAGTCCTTTTCCCCCATCCTTTAACAGGAAGGGAGGGGGGTTGTAGAAAGTCCACCGTGAGTACCAACATGCCAGGAATTGCCTGGCAGGTTTTGTTGCTTCTGCTGGGAGTTACTTTTGCCTTAGGTTCGTAGCTCAAGCAAGGAGTTATCTTATGGAAGGTTATGCTGAGTGCTTAAAATGCTGGTTACAGGCTCTGTCATGTTGGGCACCATGTCCTGAACACAGTGGTTTGTATTACAAGTTTTTATAGAGTTTTCTTGAAAAGTTGGAAGAAACTATTTTCCTCTGGGTCACCACCAACTGAAGGTAAGGCAGTAACAATTTAGATGTGAAAAGTAGTCTTAATATGAGTACAATGAAGGGATTCACAGGGATGAGCTCAGAAGGCCCAGCCAGGAACTCCCAAGTTGTGTGGGGTATGGCAGCAGCACTTGGTTGCCATCTTCTAAGGTTTGGGAGGAAAGCTTGGCATGCTCAGTCTAGGGCATGACAAAAGAAAATGGTCCTTTCATATTGTATTACTAATTGCATTGCTAATGTGCAGTTTTCTTCCCTACAGGTGGAAAATGAAGATGGGGTTCAGGAGAACACCTTTTCCATGGATCCTCAGTTGGAGCGCCAAGTGGAAACTATCCGCAATCTAGTTGACTCATATGTTGGGATCATTAACAAGTCCATTCGAGACCTTATGCCAAAGACAATAATGCACCTAATGATAAACAATGTGAGTACTGGATGGGTAGAGTTTTATAGGAGGTGAGGCAGGGAGCTCTACCAACCTATAGACATTGTCCATCAGTTCCACCTCAAGTTTGTGTCCACTGAAGTTGAACTTCAAGTCAATTTGAAGATTTCCTGATCTTATGCTATCTTGGCTGCAATTAAACTTATGCATGTTTCTCAACAAGATGCACAAGACTGGTTTTAGATGAGATGGAGATGTCTGGAGAACAAGTAGTCTTTTGGGCTTTGTTCTTTCATTTGGTTATTTTTAATGGCATTGCATTTCTATTTTAGCAGTTTCTGTTTTAAGAATGGCAAAGAATAATCATTTTAGAAACCAAATATAAACCTTACGTCAACTGTAAATTCAATAACTCTGACCACAGGCAAGCTGTTGTCTCTGTTGTTATCACAGTGATAATATTGACTCTTTTACCAAGCTACTGTAAATCTTTGGATTCTTGAATGCATTATACATCTATATTATGAACAGACAGAATTTCACATATAAATTTATCTATTAATAATTATGCTTCAGTTAAATAATTTTATATAGAATTCATGTATTAACCATGGCTTCAAGTTGTAAGTTTACTTCATGAATTGCCATTCAAAATGTTATAAATAGAGGCTAATCTCAATTAATGTTTTGTGCTTCTTTTATCACACAAATTAGCAGGTCAAACTATTTTCTAGTATGCCATTTTTGTTTAGGAATTCAACCGTAGGGAGGCACTCTCTCTGCACACTCACACAAGATATTTTCAGCTGATTTGTTTGGACAAACTTGTAATCTAATCAAGTAGAATTAAAGCAGCATTAGAAATATTCTTGTATAATAAGGGACTTTTCCCAGAATGTCTAATTGAGGGATATTGCTACTAAATGCAAAGGAAATTTGCCTCAAAACCCAATATCCTTTGGACAGTGGCCAGAAGCAAGAATGTTATTCCCCCTCGCTACTGCAGATAAAGCTTATGACCAGAGCTGAGATCTAGGTTTGGTTTCTGACATTACCACAGCCTGAATAAATCAGACCCCTATCATATTTGGAAAGCATGACCATTTTTGTGTCACCTATCATTCTTCACTCACATAGACCAAGGATTTCATCCACTCCGAGCTGCTGGCCTACCTATATTCTTCAGCAGACCAGAACAGCCTGATGGAGGAATCTGCAGACCAAGCACAACGTAGGGATGACATGTTGCGAATGTACCATGCTCTGAAGGAAGCTTTGCATATAATTGGAGACATCAGTACCAACACAGTTTCCACACCAGTTCCTCCTCCTGTGGATGACACGTGGCTGCAGTCAGGGGGCAGTGGGCATAGGTGAGTTAGAGTGTGCTAGTTACCCAGTTTTGATTGACTGTCTGACTGACTGACTGAACAGTGCCTTGCAGGAGTATTCACCTCCTTTTGACTTCTTCACATTTTATTGGAATGGAAAAGGATTTAATTGACATGGTTATCACTTGATCTACATAAAATACACATCATTGTAGGGACTCAACATATTTTATGGTGGCAAAAACTCTAGGTAAACAGAAACACACTGGCATTTGTCATTTGAAGATGTATTCACCCCCTTTGCTATAATATGCCTAAATAAATTATGGTGTAACCCATTGCCCACAAAAGTCACATACTATTGAATGGAGCCCACCTGTGTATAACTCCAATGGTTTCTGGAAGGCCCCAGATTTTTTTTGAAAAAATACCATGAAGACTGAAAACCCCAGGAAATATCAAAACAATTCCAGATAAAGTAGTCCATGGAATATTTCCTACCAGTCCCAGGGCGGGGGGGGGGCACATCCCGCTTGCTGTGGACTGGCGCAAGGGCTGGCTGTGCTCCATCACCTCTTCCTTGGTTGGCATCGCTTTCCAGTGTGCTAGTGCCCTAGTGGCCCTGGCACACTGGGGGCTGGGCGGGGGGGCGGCTTAGTGGGAGCCATGCTGTACTGATTTCAGTATTTGCTACTTTTGTTGGCATTTTTTGTTGCTTGGTTTCTGGTTGCTTTGGAGAATTTTCATTTTTTGATATTGTCTTTGGCAACTAATACATGAAATACTGTATTATGTGTATGCTGCTTTTTGTTTCTGCCTCAGCGGTCCCCAAGGTGGTTTTCCTGTTTTTGCTGGTCCCCAGCTGTGGAAAGGTTGAAAACCACTGATATAGACTGTGATATGAAACCAGCTGATAATGTTGGGCTGGATCATAGACTTCTTCACTCTCCATTGATCAAAGAGAAGCCTATGAGTACCAGCCCAGAAATGATAATAATCTCAGATTTACAATTGGACAGCAGAATGGTTAAACTTGGTACTGGAAACTCATCTGAGATATGTACATCACAAACTGTTGTAATGGATGACATGGAAATGGAACCAGAGATGGAGGCACCAATGAGGACAAGGAAGTTGACTCTGATAAGGTCACCTCCTGCAATGGAAAGGAAGAACTATAATCTCTCTGTTATAAGTGAAATATCTCTTACCGACCTGGAAAGGATGCCAGATGAGAAGCATCACATCTTTACTGAGGAACTTACAGAAGGATGACAAAACTTGATGAGAATTCAGCTTAGTACAGACTCTGGTGATGCCATAGTAACATAGTCCCAAAGCCCTGATCCTCTCCCCTCACTTTTCCAGTGCAGACAAGTTTCTGGGAGGGGGGGGGGCTGAACCATAAGTACAGTTTAGGGGACAAGTAGCCAGAGAGCAGCACTTGTGAAAGGGATCTCGGGGTGCTGGTTGACTGCAGGCTCAACATGAGTCAGCAGTGTGTTGCAGTGGTCAAGAGGGTGAAGACCACCATAGCCAGAAGTGTGGCTTCTAGATCGAGAGAGGTATTACTACCACTCTATACGACTCTGGTGCGCCCGCAACTGGAGTGTTGTGTTCCGTTCTGGACCCCTCATAACAGAAAGGATATAGCAAGGTTATAGCAAGGTGAGGCAAGACTGAGGAAACTGGGTCTTTTCTACCTGGAGACGAGGAGACTCTGAGTGGATCTGTTGGCAACATATAGGTATGTGAGGGGGTGTCACACAGAGGTGGGGAGAGACCTGTTCTCCCCTGCAGAGGAAGGCAGGACGTGCTCCAGTGGAGCAAAGCTCAGGGAACCAAGGTTCAATTTGGATGCCAGGAAGTACTTCCTGACAGTTAGGACCCCAAGGGCATGGAATGGGCTTCCACGGGAGGTGGTTGAGGCCCCATTAGTGAGGGTGTTCAAGGATAAGCTAGACATGCACATGGTAGGCATGACATGAGCAGGACTGGGTAGAGCCAGGGGTCACACTCCATGGCCTGGGAGGCCCATTCTGACTCACTCTGTTTCTGTGTTTCTGTGATTGGTCTTGAGTGAGACCAATAAGTTGAGTGGGAGAAGAGAGGGTACTTTAACACCAGGATGGGTTCAAGTCGCTCGCTTCCTGGTTTGCTTGTATCCCAGAGGCTCTTGACGAGCTGGAACAGATTGCTCTGATGTGCTGTGCTTGGCTAGGAATCAGTAACCGGAAATTCATATCCTAGATAGAGATAATGTTACTTAAGGTAAGATGTAGTGTTCATGGCCATCTTACAAATACTGTTCCAATGCAAACATGAGTCAAATGGGGCTGCATTCTGGCCCCGCTTATATTTAACCTCTACATTATTTCAGTGATGGGTGGGTTAAACCATACCAATTTTCACCCTCCAAAAATTGTGGTGGGGGCACATAGTATTTTATTATATGCAGACAATGCAGGTATTATATCAGGGACTCCAACTGGGCTTCCCAGTTGGAAGAGCATCCAAAATTTTGTGCCCATGTTACCATAGTTTCCTTAACCTGTTCATCTTCCATTTTCCTGTCAAGTAAGAAGTCATATAATCTTTTAATCATTTTTTCATCTGATTTAAGCATTACTTGATCAAACACTGTTAAGTCCTTATAAAACCCCCATGTTTTACAGTCTTTAGCATATCTCAATTGCATCTGCACCTTATGCCACCAAGAAATATTAAATCCCTGTTTTTGTGTTTTTTGATCTAACTTCAGGCCTCCATCCTTATCCAAAATATCATCGTATCTTATGATCCCTTCAAAGTCCAGAGCATTTGGAAACACAAAAGCTTCCATAGGTGAAAGCCATCTTGGTAGTTTATTATACAATTTTAGCTTTAACTTTTCCCACACCGACATTAATGATCTTCTGATAAAGTGACTCAAAAAAGACCCATGTGACCTAGCCTTCTCATACCACATATAAGCATGCCAGCCCATTTGCAAGTCATGACCTTCGAGATACAAAATTCTCTTATTTCGCAAAGTTATCCATTCTTTTAGCCAAGTTAAAACAGACGCTTGGTAGTACAACATCCAATCAGGAAGACCAAAACCACCGTTCTTTTTTGCTTCCTGGAGTATTTTTAATTTAATCCTTGGTTTCTTCTTTCCCCAAATAAATCTTGAAATTTGGAAGTTTAAATCATCAAAAACATTTTTATCAATTTTTACGGGAATCATTTGGAATAAAAACAAAAGCTTATGTAGTATATTCATTTTAACAAGTGCTATTCTTCCCATCAAAGATAATTGTAAATTGGCCCATGCTTCCAGATTGCCCTTAATATCCTTCAATAGTCCATCATAATTTTCTTCTTTCAAAGTAGTACACTTGACTGTAAGATATTTTCCCAAATACTTAACCTTTTTAACAATCTGCAAATCTACTTGTTCCTGGAGCCTTTCTTTCTGTTCTTGTATAAGATTTTTAACAGCTTCATTTTTTCTTTGTTTATTTTCATCCCCGTAACCTCACCATATTCTTCAATCCGTTGAAGGAGTTTAGGCATTGTTACTAAGGGTTCCTCCATTATTAAAACCAAATCATCTGCAAATGCTTGCAATGTATAACTTTCATCCCTAATTCTAGTACCTTTAATGTCCTCGTCATCCCTGATATTTCTATTCAACACCTCTAGAATCAAACTAAACAACAGAGGTGACAATGGGCATCCTTGTCTTGTACCCTTTTGTATCTCTATAGTCCTTGTAAGTTCTCCATTACTTAAAATCTTAGCCGACTGTCTTTGGTAAATACGTGATATCGCATTCATAAACTTTTCACCAAACTCCATCTGAGCCATCTGTTGCTTCATAAATTGCCAATTAACCTTATCAAAGGCTTTCTGAGCATCCATAAACAGTAAAGCCATTGGTTTTTCCGTATGTATCTCATAATATTCTAAGATATCCAAAATAGTTCTCAGATTATTCTTCATTTGTCTTTTGGGCAGAAAGCCATTTTGGTCTGGGTGAATAAAGTCTGTTAAAAACTTATTTAACCTTTCTGCCATTATAGAGGCAAAGATTTTGTAATCCACATTTAATAATGATATAGGTCTGTAGTTTTGAATCTGTGTTAAGTCCGTATCTTCTTTCGGTATTAGTGTAATATTTGCCTCTGTCCAAGTGTTTGGTATTTTAGCATTTTAACAGTGCCTTATTACAAATATCTTTAAGAAATGTAGCAAAAACTCCCTCAAAGGATTTATAAAATTCCGCTGGCAGACCATCCGGGCCAGGGGTTTTATCATTCTTTTGCCACATAATTGCCTCTATTACTTCCATAGTTATTACTTCTTGGTTCAATAATTTTTGATATTTCTCCAGTAGTTTTGGTAAATCTCCATTTCGGATGTATTCCTTTACTTTCTCAGTTGAAATCTCATTCTTCTGGTATAACTTTGTGAAAAAATCTTCCGCTATTTTCTTAATTTGCATGCTTTGTACCTGTAGTCGTCCTTCTCCATCTTTCAGTTTCGAAATCAGTCTCTTCTCTCTCTCTTTCTTTACTTTATAGGCTAACCATCTCCCCGGTTTATTAACATTTTCAAAAAAATTCTGTTTGGCCAGTTTCATTTGTTTAGGAAGTTCATTTGTATCCAAGAGATTCAATTTATGTTTTAAAATATTGGCCAGACCAAAATTGAGGGTAGAGTCTGGGTCACTGTCCCTGTGTACTGGCTCAGATTGTCATATTTTGGATACTATCAATTGAGCAGAGAATAGTTTTTTTGGCCTCCACTTGTAGTCTCTGTTAGATAAGATTTTGAGCAGGCAATGGGAATCATCAAGCAGCACATTGCAGATTCTGAGAGACAGACTGATCTTAACAGTGTCTCAGAGTTCTACCTCAGGGAGGACTACGGATACATTGTAAGAGCTGCACCTCACTTTGCTCAATTGGAACCACATAAGCACAGAAGAGCATTTACCCTGGCCCGTCTGAATGGGGTTTCCCTTGGCTGCATTGGAGGGATGGTTTAAAAAGATTCCCTGGTCAGAGTGCCTTTGCCCCTGTGATATGGAACAGATAGAAACCACAGAGCATGCCCTTCTGTGGTGTACCTTCTATAGGGACATTTATGCTCAATCCTCATTTGACAAATTTACCATTTGGCAAATTTGTGCACTAATCTGATATTTATGTGTAGTGTTGCTAATAGTGTTGCCAGTGTCTGAAGCTGCAATGTTGAAAGAGTGTGGACCTTCCTACTTAGTGGGATAAAAGATAACAGCTGAGGAGTTATACCAATTATCCAACATGGCTGATATGCATACTGGTCTAATATTAGCATTAAAATAGTATATTGTATTGAAGTGTTTATCACTTGGAATGGAGATATTGTATACTGACTCTGGATAGTTATAGGTTATTGGCACTGCTCTGTACACCCTATAACAAATGACTAATATTTACCTATATTTCCCCAATATTTCTGTATTGCCTTTTAAAGATTTGATTTGGTCTGGTGTTTGACCATAATAAAGTTTGCTTGTTTGATTGATAAGTTTTTAAGGGATCTTATAACATATGGAAACATGATTTACCAACTTGGAGGAATAAAGTCATGGCAAGAACTAAAAGATGAAGGAAAAAATATATAATGGCTTCTTTATTACCAATTGGTATCAAGAGAGAAGTCCAAACCAGGAGGTACTCTAAGAGACTTGACTGATTTTGAAACTCTGATTATGCAGCAAAAAGATCATTTACTAGGACAAATTAAGCTACTCCAGTATGATACCAAGATCAAGCAAGTAAGAATATGCATGATAAATTAGATGCAGAATTTTCAGGAAGAAATACCATTCTGTCAATGGGAAATTATATGGATAAAGGATATAAAATTTAACAGGCAGTCAAACATTGGGAGAAAATGGGCACAAGGTACTGGAAATGTAAAGAAGTAGATGGAACTTTTTGCCATATGTATTGGTCATGTGGTAAATTTAGAAGAATTTGGAAAGAAATACATGTGGAAATACAGAAAATTTTGAAAATTAATTTGTCTTTGACTGGTAAGACTATGTTGCTAAGCATTGCACCAGAAACTATGCCAAGGAATATCGGAGAGTTATTCAAAAATATGATAACTGTGGCCAGAGTCATAATTGCTTCAAAATAGAAAGCAGAAGAAAATCCAGCTATAGAGGACTGGAAAAATAAAATAGCAGATGATGCAGTAATGGCAAAATTGACTAATTTTGTGAATAGAAAACCAACCAAAGGATTTAATGATGTGGAAGCTGTACTATGCACAACTTAATTTATAATGGGGATTACAATAGAAAATCCACATATTAATGGAATGGAATTTTTGAAAATTTCAGAGATTAACATTTAAACTAATGCTTCGCTATTATAGCAAGGGAGAGTTATATAAATGGAATAGGATTCTTGAAAATCCTATTTTTTCAAGAATCCTGTGATTCTTGAGAGAGCCAGTGTGGTGTAGTGGTTAAGAGCATGGGACTGGGACTCAGACGATCTGGGTTCTGGTCCCTGTTCGGCCATGGAGCCAACTGGGTGACTTTGGGCCAGTCACAGACTCTTAGCCCAACCTACCTCACAGGGCTGTTGTTGTGGGGATAAGATGGAGGAGGAGAATGATGTAAGCTGCCTTGAGCCCTTTGTAGGAAAAAGGCAGGATATAAACCGATAGATAGATAGATAGATAGATAGATAGATAGATAGATAGATAGATAGATAAAATATTGTTAGAGATCAACCCTTGTACTTGATGCTTTGTTGTTAGAATGAGTTAAGATGAATAGAGCTATTTAAGTACATAATAATTCAGGCTAGAGTTAAAAATGCCTTAAAATGGAAAGCAGAAGAAAATCTAATTGAAGACTAGAAAAATAAGTTAGCTGACTATGCAGTACTGGTAAGTCTAATTAACCATGTAGAAAGGTAACCAGCCAAAGAAAATAATAAGTAAAAATTGTATCACACAAAACTTCTTTTTAATGGGGATAATATCAATGGAAAAATAGAAAGAATACAATTTTTGAGAAAATTGTTAGAGATCAGAAGATTTTCAATGAAGTTTAACCAAGTTCTTTAAAAATGTGACTGAGTAGAAAAGATAGTAATTGTTGACCTACTGCTATTTTTTCTTTTTCTTTTATACTTGATTTCTGTGCAACATTTAAGAACCCTTGGTGATACTCTGTAATGTTTCCCGTTCTTATTGTTCATTTTTTCTTTTTCTTTTTAAATTTTACTGTTATAAAAAACAATGAAATAAAAATAGGAAAAATAAAAATATAAATGATAAAAATGTTCATAAGGATTTATTGGAGAAAATGACTGTGGGGGTTGGGAAGGGGCTGGAACAGGCTAGGAGGTGGCCTTTGCTAGTTGTGCTTTTTATCATATACAGTGAAAGTATGGCACCAGCAAGGCCATAAGGTGCAAGTGACATATTGGAAAGAAGTGTGATGTGTCCCACTCTCATTCTTTCCAGAACTCCAGGAAAAGCTTGGAAATGTATATTTGATCATACGATTTTAATGCACTGCTAGATATGTGATCCTTAATCAGAATTGGTTGGTTGACTTTTAACTCTTCTATTGTTGGTATCATTCATTAAATTTTTCATTAAATTGGATAACATGGTTTGGTTCTGAGGCCAGTATTCCAAAATAAGTCTCTCTTACAGATTGGAAACCATGCATCCACGTCTTGTCACTTGACTTTTTGACTGGAGCTCATTCTTTTGATCTCATTTAAGATTCTGCTGCCCTGAACTTCAGTAACTTACCTGATTTGATTGTTCCTTTTGTCTTCCTTTGCAGCCCAACACCGCAGCGCAGGCCTCCTTCTACTGTTTTACCACCAGGGAGACCTCCAGCTGTGAGGGGTCCCTTGCCAGGCCCTCCCTTGCTTCCAGTAGCAGCAGCAGGCTCTTCCTCTTTCGTGGCACCACCCATTCCTTCACGCCCTGGACCGCAAAGTGCATTTATTGCTAATAATGACCCCTTTTCAGCCCCTCCTCAGATTCCTTCAAGACCAGCAAGGGTTCCCCCCAGCATCCCTCCAGGTGTACCCAGGTAAGGGTCAGTTCAGGTTCCCTTACATTTGAAATGTTCATTTCAGCTTTGCAGGACTACAGCAGACACTACGTCATAAACTCTAGAGCAGGGAATAGGCCATGTGGTGGACAATTTTCTTGCTGCTCCATCGCTCCCAAAATTTAAAATATAGTTTTTGGTACTGGTTGTCAAAATGTTTGTGAAATACGTTCTTTTTGGTACTGAAATGAGCTATGGAGTGTGTTGGGAATGAAGGGAGCTGTTGTTGGGATACACTGAGGGGGTACCAGGTTGGAGAAGTCTATCCTAGTTTCTTCCATGCAGGTTTGCTGGAAACACCCTTGCTAGTTATGCTGTGGGAAGAAAGCAGGGCTGTATGTCTACCACAGTTTGTTAAGAGTGCAAAAATTCTACAAATAATGATACTATCCCCACTCAGCAATAGTACAGTATTTAGCTATCTGAGGATTACCATTTCAGTGCATGGGCAATGCCTGCTGAAAGCTTAGAAAGTCACTTAGTACATCTTCTAATTAGTACATCTTAGGCTTCCATGTCCTGTATAGCCACCTCCAAGGGAAGCAGAATAAACTGTGGAAAGGGGTAAAAATGGGAGGCCACATATAATTTCTAACTAATATATTTTTCAGAATTCAGCAGAATTTGGGTTGTCATGGTGCAGAAAATTGATTGCTTAACAAAAAAATAACATGCCTACACAGCATTTTGACTTTATAAAAGTCTAACATGAAGTCACATTGTTGTAGGAAATATACAAACAGGAGGGTGTAACATTAGAGAGGATCGCATGGCCTGGCTTATTTATTGGAGACATTCCTACCTAACGTTTTGCGTAGCCTGGCTTGTGGCTGCTAAGAGTTTCAAACTTGAAACACTTTTTCCGACAGGTTGGGGCATTGTGTGGCCCTAAGCAGCTTGCAGGTTAATTTTCAGTGGAGGATTCTACAGCGTCTGCTTATTGGCTAAGTTATGACAATTTAACCATTCTGGATTCCTCAGCCAAAGTGGAATAAGGACAATGAGCAAGAGGCATGTGGACATGAGCTTCACCTTCCAACGTTTTGTGGTGATGTCTGTCCAGTTCTCCCTTTCCCAGTGTTCACATCTTTCTCTTCTGTTCTCTCTGCAGCAGAAGACCCCCTGCAGCACCGAACCGGCCTACCATTATCAGACCAGCTGAGCCTTCTTTATTAGATTAACCACAACCACTACCTGGCAGAGTGGTAGTGGTCTTGCTTGTTAACTATCTTGTGGAGAGAGCTCGTGCCTAATCTCTTGTGTAAAAGAGCTCTTTGCAACTGATCAACTGTAGCCAAGGCCCATTTTTTCCATCCCTACTCCTAACCATGGCAGCAAACATCATGGGATGGTTCCTGTGGGTCTATGACCTGTAAATAGCTCTGAGAGGCCAAGCATTCCTTATAGTAGTACCCTCTCTGTCCCTGGGTCTTGGCTAGGGGAAGAATCCTCTCCTCTTGGTGGCCACATCAGACCTGTTCCACATGGGAACTTGGAGGATTCTGTTTTGTGGAGTTGTTTTGCACTTTTGCTGAAAACACAGAAAAGAACTCCTAGTTGAATAATTGCCAAGGGATTGCCTGTGAATGTGTGAAAATGGAGAATCCGCATTCCCACCAACACAGCAACATTCAGCACATGGAATCTTTTGCCGTTCATGTTGATCAGACTTGATCACCCCTTCTCACCACATGGATTTCTTTGTACTACATGCACACACCTCTCTCTTCTTTCCCTCTTTAAATTTAAATGCAAAATTTGAGCAATTTTACATTTTATAGCCTTGAAATAAAATATGGAATGATGGGACTGCAGATAGCAAATTGCTAATAAATCCAATTCACTGAACTGGAGCAAAACTTTACCAAGCAGAATAATTGGAAAGAAGGCAGCACTGGGTTGCATTTGAGCCTCAGGTATAATGTTGACTTGCGTGCCATGCTACACTTTGCACAATCAGTGCTTACCGTTAAACAGAAAGATCTCAGTTTGCCACTTGTGGCCTGAATAAGCAGAAATAAGATTGGTGATCCATCCTATGTTACATCCAGATGGTCAATTGCAGGGTTGGCTTAGTTATTTTTAGCTGTAATACTAGTTGCCTCTAATTGACTGTGACCATGTATAACCTGCCCAACGTATGGAAAAGTGGGGTGAGGGCTTCTAATAGATCTTCAGCATTATGATTTTCTGCACAGGCCATTTCTGTGAAGAGGCATTCCTTTCCTATTCACAAGAGGGATTTTTGGCAGTGCACTAAAATAGATCACAGAGCAGTAGTGCTCAAAGGACCCACTGTCCCATAGAGGTGCCCATAGGAGTCTCTCGAGGGGTTTTTTTGGGGGGTGGGGCAGGAGGAGATTGGCTGTTCCATCTCTTGAGAGTCTGTGGAAGGACACTGGACCCTTCTGAACAGGACAAGTAGAACATGCCACCCTCCATGAGCTGTGGTTGTATATACTTCTTCATAAAGAACAGAGTATTAAAACTTGGATGAATTCTAGATTAAAAAGAAGTCTGTTAGCTCCTCTCCTTCCCCACTCTCCAAGCCTATCAGGCATACCTTGGTCCTTCCTGAGAAAATATGTAAGGGACAGCAGCACACACACACCTGCCTTAATGTTTCCTTCCAGTGACCTCTTCCCTTTCAACCTGACCTGGAGCAGTAGTTGTTCACATCCTAAGGATATCCTCCTTTCATAGACAGTGCTAACTTGGTGCCTTTACTGCTTGAATGCTATGTTGTCTGCCCTAGTAACCAGTGTTGTCTTCCTGTAAATGCCCCTCTGCCTCCAAAGACACTGTCAAATGTTCTGACCCTCTCTTGAAGTGTATTTCATAACCTCCTGCCATTTATGTTCACTGGCCACTTCCCTGAAAAATAGCATTTGATTGGTAGCATGTACCTTCTATTTCTAATTCATTTTGTTCTGATATGCTACTTCTTGACTCTTCCTGTTACCATGTGTGAAGGGGCTGTGGGGCCTTCTCTTCCTCTTTAGATTAAAAAAGCTCCCAGCAGTTTGAGATAAGTGCCTCCATTATGTATCTTATTAATAAACTAAAATAAAGGGAAATTCTGCTGGTGGAAAGTCTCTGGCAACTTGTGGTACTGGGTTTTGTTTTCTTGTTTGTTATGAGTGTTTTACTCTGTTGGTTATCAAGGGTATTGAGCTTGGACAGAACAGAATAAAATAGAGCTCAGTTTAGCTTTCTCAGGTGGTATCTGTTCAAGGAACACTAGCTTCTTTACAGAATAGTTGATTGTTACCTTGCTCAGTTTGTTTCTTCAATGGGAGGTAGCTTGTACTCAAGGTTTAAGGACAGTTGCTAAAACCTGAACCCTACCCTTTTTGTGGCTGTTTATAGCCACGGATCACTTGACATTTCTCCCTTTTCTTCATTCTTCCTCAAGCGATTCCAGCTGTTCATTGTGCATACCACATGCTCAATAATAGCAGCTCTGGGGAATGAAAACAAGTGAGGTGGCACACGGCTCAGTCCTGGGCCCAGTACTTTTCAATATCTTTATTAATGACTTGAATGAAAAGGTGCAGAGAATGCTGATCAAATCTGAAGATGGCACAAAATTGGGTGGGATAGCTAATACCATGAAAGGCAGAAATAAAATTCAAAGTGAACTTGATAGGCTGGAGCACTGAAAGCAACAGAATGAAATTCAGTATGAACAAAGACCAAGTTCTAGGAAAAAGAAACCAAATGCAGAGTTACAAGATGGGAGATAATAGGCTCAACAATACTACAAGCAAGTGAGATCCTGGGATTGTTGCTCAGAACTGCATGTGAGCCAACGAAGCGATGTGGCTGCAAAAAAACAAAATCGTATGCTATTTTGGGCTGCCTTAATTGAAGTGTAGCTTCCAAATCACATGAGGCACTGGATCCCTTCTATTCACTAGTAAAGCCCCATCTTGAATACTGTGTCCAGTTCTGGGCATCACACTTCAAGAGAGATGCAGACCAACAGAAGTTCAACAAAGATGGCTGGGGGATTGGAAACAGCTCTGCGAGAAGAGGTTGAAAGAACTAAGCATGATTCGCCTGGAGAAGACTGAGGGGACATATGAAAGCACTCTTGAAATCCTTGAAAGGCTGTCACATTGAGGAGAGCCAGGATCTCAATCATCCCAAAGTGCAGGACACAGAATAATGGGCTTAAGTAACAGGAAGCCAGATTCCAGCTAAATATTAAGGGAAAACTTCCTGACTGTTAGAGCAGGATGGCAATGGAACCAGTTACCTAGAGAGTTTTTGAACAGTCTGGCCTGCTTTAGTTTGGAGTCCTGCATTGGAAGCTGCAATATAAGTACCATACAAGGGCTAGGAGATCCAGCTAGCAAGAGATAAGTTCAGTGGCTTATACTGAGAAAATTTAGTAGAGCTACAATGTTAGTCACTGAAGAATTTCAGTGGAAGAGGTACATGAGTAATTATTTATAATTATTTATAATTATTTATAAAGCAAAAGAGTAGCACCTGTGTAATTAAAAGCTGTAGCCATACTTCCACTGCCATCATCATCATCATCACCACTACATTGCATTTATATCCTACATTTTTTCTTCTTCCAAGGAACCCAACATGGTGTACGAGGTTTTTTCCACTCCATTTTATCCTCACAACAACCCTGTGAGGTAGGTTTGTGACTGGCCCAAAGTTACCAAGTGAGCATCATGGCTGAGTGGGGACTGTCTTCCAGGTCTCCAGACCAGCACTCTTAACCACCACACTGGTGTGCTCATTCTCTCACTCTTCACATACACATACACAGCAAAAAGGTGCATTGATCCATGGGACAAAAGCTACAGGTGGGCAATATCTTTAATAGGGCAAATCAAAGTGTCTCCAGAACTCTTTGTTAGCACAGGCAGTACAATAAATAGGGAATGAGGGAAGAAATAAAAGTTCACAGAAGTTGTGGGTCATAAAGTCTGCATTTTAGATAATCACCAAGATGAAGATTATACACTGAGGGCATCTGTGCATGTTTAGACAGAAAA